AATAGAACACGAAGTTCATAACGAGTCCAAAGAAACAGCAACTTCACGAAAATTCATCTGCCTATTAAGCGTAAAAGTAGTCATTGTCAAGCGCTAAGTACCCAACAAGTTACAAGCAATTAAGCGGGGACATTACCACCGAGCGCAACCTCTCGAAATTGATCTGCCCCTAGGATCGATTATGTATTTTTTCCATCGTGCCTCGAGAATTTATGTCGTCATATACAGCGTCACAGGCGCATAGTTCCGCGGCCAACTTCCGCGAAGCGTCCCCGCGACGCCATTAAGTAACTCCACGTTTAATTTGTGATACACGTTACATAATCGTCAGATGCACTCGCGCTCTCGCGCGCACAGGACACGGTAAACAGGAAAAGCAGCGGCATTATTGTTTTGCCGGATGGCGCGCGAAAATATTGGCCGTTAGGGGGAATTCCTAACAGGAATCGGCGCGTTTCGTTGCAATTATTAGTTCCATTATAACGGGCCCTGGTAACTGGCCAGCCAGTCTTTGATACGCAAGCCGTCTCGAGTTTACGGCAACGACCGTTTTATAAATTATCGAAATGGAAAGGAGGAAATTGAAATCCCCGCGCGTTCATCGTGAGCTTCGTTTGAAAATAGCCGTCAATTCCCCTGGACGAAGTGAACGATATCGACGTTCCCGTCATTCCTTCATCCTACTTTCTTCCCTTCTATTTTGAAACGATGATTTTCGCAGAATTTCCAGTCGATCAAGAATGATTAATTGAGCCGAGCGGAAGACCGTGAAGACACTGACGGTACACGATGTTCGCTAATCGAGTTTCTTGTAGCATCGTGAAAATATAAACTTTCATTCGGACATTATTTTTCTTGGACCGTGCGTTCACTCATCAAGATTCATTGGAAATAAATTATAGACGCGTCGTCCGTTGATTTCCGATTATTAAATGGAGGCTGATGGTAATTGATATTTTAATGACGTGATTTAGTAGGATTTCTAGCATTTCATTCTCCGCTAATGCTGTTTGGAAGTTTCCCTCGCGCATAATGTGATTTTTTTCTTGCGCCCGAAGATAGGTTTCTCGACGGTGTCTTTCTAGAACTTCATTCTTCGAGGCTGAAGACGTTCCCTGTAATTCAATCCCGTAGCTCGGCAGCGGTTGAAGGATACATTTACATGAGATTACTTTTCACCTAAAGTACGCTTTGAACTTGGTGGCATAGTGGTTGCATTAATCGAGAAGACACTTCGCTGTATTATCGTATCAAAGTGAAAACCAATGCTCTTCGGTGCTCCGCGTCTCCTAGAAACAGGTCGAAACTATCTTGACTGTATAATCAATTAAAAACCTTTAATTGAATTCCATAAATTCAAATAAATAAAAGAAAACCAATAATTCAACCGAGCAAAACGATTACGAAAGTACACGAATGCAAAAGGAATAAAATCTAAATCAAAATCAACTGAAATCAAAATATTCTAATGGCAATAATTTAATCGGCCGATTATCTCAAACAAACACGAATCCCAACGAATTCGATTACTATTCAAACTCCAGCAAGCAGACACGATCCCCCAAGGATTAACCCGTCAGCCGGCCGACAGAATCCAACTCGCGATCGAAAATATTCGCACAGCGTCCCTTCTCCTCCAGCGATCGTCGTGATCTCCATCGAATCTCCTGCGCTACATCACGGATTAGCATCGCATTACCTCCGAGTCGCGCGGAACGAATGACGGCGAGATCCATTTCACGTAAGCCGAATTCATGAGGCTGTGGCCTCCGGTTATGACAGAGTCGCAGAGCTTTCCATCACTCGAAGGAAGCCGCGCACCGGTTGCGACGCCGTTTTTCCTATCCGCACCTCTTCAGGCA